CAGCTAGAACATGGAGGTGCAGAGACTGGGCTGTCCAGGTTATGGTGACTAGAAGGGAGGCTAGCCACCCTCGGAGAACTGGGCAAGCTGCCCAGTCAAGACACAGAGTCTGAAGACAGAACTTGGGACAGTGTGCCTAAACTCCTATATAATTTAGTGTTTATATAACCCCCATATACTTTAGTGCAGTTGTCCTCAGACAGGAACCCTGTGTCTCTCTGATCCAGGGTCTGTAAGACAGCTGCGTGCACAATTTTACAGTGGCTGCACAGAAACATGGATGCATGCTTGCATAGATGAACAAAATTAAGGATTCTGCAAAATATAGATGAGTGTTGGCCGGAAGACGTAAGCAGAAAGAAACCTAGCTAAGTCTGTCTTTATTTCTGTGTTCCTGGGAGTCGGTTAAACATGCAGTTCCTCACTGTGCTCCCAGGAGGCTACTGACATGATGCTTCTCACACCTCAGTGTGCTCAGAAGCAGCAGATGCAGTGGAAATGCAGACCCCCAAACAGCAAGTCTGGGCAGGGCCCCAGAAGACGCTGGTGATGTGGGGCCTGGGCCTCCACTGGGAGCCGCAAGGCCAGTATGTTCTGCTTTGGCCTGGGTTTGTGCCTTGTCTGAACATCCAGGCTGACTGCAGAAGAGGTTTGTGCTGAATCTCAGGCATTGCCTAGCAGCTCACACTGAAGGAATCAAGCCCTTGCCTCCAACCTGAGAGGCTGGCACAGACACACCATCCCATCACCTCTGCAGGGCTCCAAGCCCTGTCTTATCGGCCCTTCTTAACTCAGCTGGATAAGGAGCCAAGTTACTCGAGTTTCATAGAGAAATCCATAATGTTCCTCAAATAGGGTTGTAAAGGTACCAGGCAAGGGGAGGACAGAACACCCAAGCAGAGGGTCCCTCACTCTTGCAGACCTTCTCCATGGAGTCTCGGTTCTGGACCTAGAGCTTGCTCACTCGGAGACTCGGGGCAGTGGTGAGAACAGAAGCTGGCCAAAGCACGTGTGTTTGGATCCATACTTTTCCCACTCCTGCGAAGCCTTGAGCAAGTTACTCAGCTTGTCCGTGTTGGTCTACTGCACGGGTAAAACGGAATTATAGGAGTCTCCCTGCATAATAATGCTAAGATTAAATGACTTAACATACATTAAATATGTGCCTGGTCTACTATAGAAATGGCAACCTCTACGACCACCACCACCACCCTGTGTTCCAATGCCACAGCTGAGGCTATGAAATGAGAAGAGGATGGCCCCGGCCACAGAGAGCTGGTGGCCACGGTGTGTTTCCCCAAAGGGCCCACAGCAGCACAGGGGTGTGTGGGATCTATGTGCCCACCTAGAAGAATCCACCTGTGCCTCCAGGCACCACCATGCGAGAAAGCATGGCACCTTCCCTGTTTACACTGTCCTGCTGAGAGGTGGAAACAAGCCTCCCTCCAGTTCCTGTGAGAAGGAGTGTGCCCACTGTGTACCTGACCCTGGCCTTCTCCACGTGCTCTGTGGACAAAGCACATCACTGTAGAAAATTCAGCCTGGGCCGTTCATTGTGAGGAAGGGTGCTCATGAAGATGAACACCCTTCTCATTTTCTGCCCCATTCCCAAGGTCTGCAGCAGGGCTTTGATACAGTGAACACACACATGGCACGGACAGACCTAAGGGACTCACCACGACATTCCCACCAGAACCCCACGGTGCCTTCAGCCCATTCTCTGATGTTTCTCTGCCTTTACCTATATACAGCAGCTGCCCCATAGGCTAGTCATAGGATGAAAAAAAAAAAAAGAAAAGAAAAGAAAAAGAGAAAGAGAAAGCCAACCAGTGCAGGCACTGCTTCTCACAGAGCTGCTCATGAGGCAGTGGCAGCCCCTCCTTTCCTGGCGGCATACATGGCTCATGTGGTCTGTCTGGGCCCAGGGTCTCTGCTGGACCATGAAAAACGTTGCAGACATCAGGTAACAGGCAACTGCAGTGGAACTCCAGTGGACTGTGTTGGCAGCTGGTGGAGCTGGTGATTTACCAGCAGGTACAGTTTGCAGGACCCTGGCCTGGGTCGTTGACCATCTGACAGGCTGTGCAAGCTAAGCATCCACATTGCATGCAGGTAGATGGGAGAAGATGCCACTGCTATCACACCCCAGCCAGGAGCCTCCCAGGTTGAAGGCAGCTTTCTAGCCCTTACACCACTGTTGGTGTGGAGAATGGGAGTCCCTGAAGTGATAAGAGGTCACAGCTGGGAGCAGCTGATCCCCCACTTCCTCCAGGCGGGGCTAACCTCCATCTGTACCCTTGATGTTCAAGACAGCATGGTCCACAGGGCAATCCTTCCCACCCAAACTTTACAGCTTCCAGGGTAACTGGGGAAAACACTGAAGATGCTACTAGTTTTTTGTTTACCTTTGTATATTTGTTTTCCTTTTGACCCTAGTTTTATTGGGTACATCTCTAATGAGCCTTTCAAAAAGTGTGCTAGGCTCACAACAAAGTGTGTGAGCTCACAGCCCTTTTCTGTGTTTCAGGGAAGCTCCCAAGAATCTGCTATAATTAGAAGTCAATTAAATTAGAAACCAGTGATATGCCTCTTGGAAGGCCTCCAGTACCCAGAGCCCCTGGCTCTGTCCACAGTCATGGTGGAAACTCATCCCTGCTACACCCACTGTGCTGAAGCAAGGTTAGAGCTGTGGACCTGAGGCAGGAGTGTGTGTGTGTGTGTGTGTGTGTGTGTGTGTGTGTGTGTGTGTGTGTAAGCAGCCCCTGCCTGACCTCTGCTGCCTCACCCCAGCCCACCCATTAGGGCTGTAGCCAGCCTCTCAGCCTATAGGCTAGACTCCCCGCCTCTCCTGCTGCCTGCCCCAGCTTGCTCCTTGCCAGAAGGAAAACACCCAACAAGTTCACAGCTGAGGGCATCCTGGGCACTTTCATCTTGCCTCACTGGACTGAGGTGTAAAAGTGTCCAGAAGGTCCGCTGTTTCTGGAAGACCACCCAATAGACAGTGATCTGTGAGAGCAACCTTGAGGACCTGAGCATGTGGGTGAGTCCATAGAAGACCTAGACTCTATCCCTCTAGGCCTTGCCAGTGACCCTGGCCAGCTCTTCCTGGACTCTTGCAGAGTGCCCATCTTCAGTCAGCTCTTGGAAAAACACTTCTCCCCAGACTGAAGTGGCTCTGCAGTTTTGTTTTTTTTTCTCCGCACAGAGTTCACAAAGTGGGACAAAAGCATCCACTCTCATCCTCAGTCCATGGCTGCCTCTACACTCTTATTGCCAGCCAAGTCGATCTGTGCTGTAAGACTAGGGTGCCACTCAGAGCCCACCCCTGTGCATACAGGCAGCTTCAGCCGCAGGCAGAAAGGTCTTCTCCAGGAAGTCTTTTCTACTCCGCAGTGGACAGTTGGTGCTCCAGGCGACTGAAGCACCTAGATTCTTGTCCTTGTGCTGGAGGCCAGACCCTCAGCCTCACACATGCTGGTGATAGTACTTCCCCACTGAGCTGCTCCCCCAGCCCAGAACTGTCTTATTTGCTTATTATGGTGATAGATAAGAGTGACATCTCAGACCACTGCTTGGATCCCATCTACCACCACCCCCTCTCAAACAAGAGTGTGCACACTTCCTGCTCCATGGGGAGGAGGCAGGAGGCTGGACAGGACTGCTTAGGAAGGAAACGGGTCCTGAAAGCTGTAGATCCCAACCTCCTCAGATACAGACCCTAGCTGCCTCTGGCCTGTTTACTCCTGGGGTGTTACTCTCCCAGACTTAGCAGGACCCAAAACCTGTTGGGATCAGAAAGTAGATGCTGAGCGTCCAAATACTCAGGGTCTCCCTGACCCTACCCAATTTGTGCATCTCCTCTCTCCTCTCTAACTTATTTTCAACACACAATTCTTTGGCTACTTTTCTCAGAGTCTTTAGGACCAAGTTCCTACGAGTAGGAGGAAAGAGGGGAGGGTCAGGGGACAGAGGGATAAAGTGGCTTCTGGGTGCTGTATCTGCTTTGAGTCTCCCTACCCAGCATTCTTCTGTGTGCTGTTGGAAATCACTGGTTCCCATGAACATGCATAAGGACAAGAGAATATGGGATAAAATATCTAGGAAGTTCCTGATGACTCGGTTTGATTTGAGGCTTAAATCAGCAGTGGATTCTGGAAGGCTCCTAGTGTGCTCTACCGCTCATAGAGAATATGCTGTCTGTACTTACACTGCCCCAATGCTAACATCATGGCTGTTGTGCCACACCTGGAGAACCCATAGCTCCCATGAGCTTATCATCTCTCGTTAACGTGTAGGCTAATTCATACTCATACTCCCATAAAATGGCTTGACCTGGAAACCCAAGTCCCAGTCCTCAGTGAAAAGATGAGAGGATAACACTATGGCAGAGCAGTGTGCTAATGTAGTAATTGGTGTGAGTATGATTCCCTGCACTGTGGCTATCCTCTATACATTAAATAGTCGTATGGCCATGGACAGGTCACTTGACCTCTATGGCCTTCAGTTGTTTCGACTATGAAATTAGGTGGCTAAACTGCATTATCTGACTCACACATTCTAATGGCCTCTCAGAGAGAGGGCAGACTTTTCTAATGGGCTATGAGAGCAAGGACATGCACCAGACCCTACTAGTATCTCCAAGACTCTTGTGCTGGATCCCAACAGGTAGGACCAGCCCAGGGCAGCTCGTAGTTCAAGGTTTCACAAGACTCCTCCCCAAGCTGAAGAGCATGGTAAATACTGGCCCCACACTCCCAGCTTAACAGCAGGGCCCACATGCTCAGTCTTCCCTCTGAGGGCTCTTTCTAGGGCATGGTGTGAGGCTGGTGAGGGTGCCTGAATGGCCTCGGGTCACCAGCTTGGAGCTTACCTTAGAGTCTGTGTGTTCTGTGGGGTGTGCCATCCCTCGTGCTGTTTGCAGGAAAGTTACCTTCAGCCACTGAGATGTGATGAGAATAAAGGCAGCTGTACCACCTCTACTGATGCTGTATGTCTTTCAGGTGCGCTTCCAAGAGATCATGGCCCACATGGGGGACTGCAAGTGGATGTCCTGGCTCCCGGTGCTGGTGGTGAGTGGTTCTGAGTGCCTGTTTTCACTGACCGCTTACTTCAGCACCTACAGGGCAGGAGCCTTCCCTTAGGCTGAAACCTTCACTAGCTACACCACCTCAGACTGCCGTCAGCCCCCACACCTCACCAGCTATACCACCTCAGACTGCTGTCAG